GTGCTCGCTCACACCATAGATAGATACATGTGTGTTGTATATATCTATGCTCACACGTCTGCGTCTGCCACACTTTGCCCTCCATGCTCCATGCAGTGGTCGCTTACCAGTAATACTATATGCGCCTTGCAGGCATTGTGCTTTCGTAATATATACACCGCCAGTGCATAATTTTCGAGCCCATTAACAATATAGACATAAAGGCAAGTGTCAAGTAATTTATTTCTTGTTATACCACCGTATCGTAAAATATCGATATCCGGAAGTTGTATCGCGATATATCGAGTTTTCAAAATATATTGCAATATACCGATATACCGGTATATCGTTACACCCCTAATATATTGCAATATAAAATCTAACATTGTAATATGGTTTTCAATTCAATACCCAGCCCTGGTGTATACTGCACATACATCGTTATGTTAATTGGATAATAAGTGCATAAATGATTTTATGTATATTTCTCTGCAAATTGAATACTTTATCTCAGCAAGGAGAAAACATTAGTTAAAGACCACATTCCTTGAACTTAATTTGAATGAATCAATGAAAGAGCCACCACATTCTTGTTTTTAATGTGGCTGCATTTTTGCAGGGTCCGAATCATGTGTGTCATCTTGATGGGAACGACAAACTTAAGCCATTTGGATTCTGCATTTCCGGCTGCATTCATCGGTATGTGTATGTGCCGTGCTGAACATTTTTGACAGTGCTTTCCAAATTAAGTAACTTTTTTTACTCGATGATCTTTTGCAAATATAGTAAAAACACGTATAAGAACCTATAGATTAAGAACCTTTTAGTATAGGCTAACATTTTCCATTTAAACCCCCTTGACATAAGAACCTGTTTCACCTTAAAATTTGAAACAGGTTCTTATTGGATAATATGCAGGTAACACTTACAAATTCATTAGTACTCAACTATTGTACAAAAATACAGTACACTGCAGTTTCACTGAATACATTATGAAATTGAGCCTGATACCATACCTTATGACTGAGTAACCTGGCCAGGCATTATGTTTGCGGTGTTTTAAAACTATCAAGTTTTGCTTTATTGATGCTTATTAGGTATAAAGGGAATACAACGAAATAAGATAACCTAGAATAGGGTTTGTATTTCTCTAGATTGCAGTCATTTAGACATAATTATATATATTATATATGCATATTTCATATGCACAGTGGACCGAACCAATATCATACCACTGTACCAGCCACAAGCACGTTTTTTTCTTCAGACAATAAAAACCTATTTAGGGACCTAAATAGCCTAATTTCCCAGTATACACACCAATTATATAAGAACCTTTTTAGGCTAACTTCGTAACATGCAGGTTCTTATGTATTGGTTTTAGTGCTGTAGTGGATATATCTTGACATAAAATGTGTCAGTGTAAAAGTTGACTGATCATTGTGACAGTCAATAAATCTTGCATACTTCCATACAGTATCACTATGACTTGAATACAGACATTGGGTAAGAAGGTAAATGGTAGGTAAGGTAGCTTATACGTTCCTCCTACCAGGAAAGACCATATATTGCAATGTCATCTATATGCTGAAATATTTGATTGTAGTTATTCACGAAAACTACTGTGGCTGAAAGCTGGCATCACAAATAAAGACCCGAAAGTGATCCTGACATATTATGTTAACTGCATACAGGAGTGTGGTGGTATGTATATATGTTCATACAAGTATTGGTTATGCATACTTTTGATTTCTTATTTCACATGTACAATCGTAATTATTGTATAGTGTCTGCATTCATCTCTTAGATTCTCACGTGATTCTCAGATCTAAAAAATTTCTCATTATCACACAAGATAAAAAGTGCTAGATGATAATTAAGTACTCTCCCATTTTTTCCATTTTGTAAACGTCCAACATGCGGCTACGTTACTATTTAAAATCTAGGTTGCCCAATGAAGATGCGTGCAGATGCTGGAACTGAAAACGTTGCAAGTGTGCAAGCCTTCTTGAGAAGGGGAGGTAGTGATGCATTTGCTGGCAATAAGTCGTTTCAGTATGGAAGGTCTACAGCCAATCAGGTATCTTAAACATATATTGTAAAGATTTATGTCATTCATGTATAGTTTCATATCGCCCAAAGAGCACTTTACGTGGGTTTTACTGATATATCGGACAATCGCAGGAGTGCAACATCATACATGATGCTCTGTAATAACGTGCAGATGCATTATCATTTATACACTGATCACAATGATTGTTCAGTTTATTAGCTCATCTGACGTAGTCAGATGCAGCTTGTAGAATCGCATGAGCGTGCGTGCGTGCGTGCGTGCGTGCGTGCGTGCGTCAACAGTTGGGCACAAATCTTAACCGCTTGACGTACGGTCACGATATTCGGGACGTCGGGGGGGATCGTCAAAACGAGTTGGGATGTCGAATCTGGGGGGTCAAAGGTCAAAGGTCAAGAGGTTTAAACGAAGGGGGAACATATGCTACACAGGTGAGTACACTTATGTATCAGTCATCCTATGCATTTGTGTATTTTTGGCCTGTCTGGATGCAACTCAGCCTTAGTTACCTTGTAGTTATTCGCAAAGATTCACAATATTAGCACAGAATCTTCGAGGAAATAGACACCCTGACACAAGGGGGAAAATGCTATATAGTGTACAGGCCATTCAAGTTGCCAATTATATTCTATAGGGTCACTTTGACATTTTCCTTCCTGCCAATTATAAGGCAGGAATTGGATCAGCAATGCCGAGAGTGGAATAGCCATCGGATCAGGTTTCAAAAGAACTCTGATGTTCCAGCTGGCATTCCAAACCTCTTATATCTTTTTCTATAGAAAAGTGCTATGTGTATATATATATATATATATA